CTCATGAACTAATTTGATCATGCATACATATCACCATCGTAACCTATCGATATCCAATTATTCCTCACACAGTGTTTAGCACTGCTGCCTCACAGTGCCAGGGACCCGGGTTTGATTTCAGCCTTTGGTCATTTTTGGAGGCGAGTTTGCACATTCTCCCCATGTCTGTGTGCTCCGGTTTCCTCCCACAGTCCAAAGATGGGCAGGGCTTGGCTGTGGTAAATTGTCTATAGTATCCAAGTATGTGCAGACTAGGTGGGTTCGCCAGGCTAAATTTGGGGTTCTGGAGATAGAGTGGGGGTCTGAGATTGGGTGGGATGCTCTTTGGATGGTCCATGTGTCTTGATGGGCTGAATGGCCTCTTTCCACACTGTAGCGATTCAATCAGTTGCCACGCCCCAGACTCCATATTGAGTTTGACAAGTTCAGAAGAGAAAGCCTGACCTGAATTCTTTCTGTTGCTAATGATTCTGATGGAGAGTTTGCTAAAAGTATGCAAGTAAGATCACAGTTGGCATACTGTGAGGGGGTTGGGTCCCTTATTTAAGGAAAGATATGCTGGAATTGGAGGCAGTCTTGGGTCCCTTCTTTAAGGAAAGATATTCTGGCATTGGATGCAGTCCAGTATACTGATAACAAGCGTGGAGCGATCTCTCCCAAGAGAAGAGATTCTTAGCGGGGGAATGACAAGGTAGATGCTGAAAGGTTGTTACCCACTGTGGGATAGTCTAACTACAAAGGGCATTATCTCAGAACAAGAAGTGGCCCATTTAATACAGAGATGAGGAATTTTTTCCTCTGAGTGTAGTGAATCTGTGAAATTCTTTGCCACAGAGAACCATCAAGACTGGTTCATTAAGTATATTCAAGGATCAGGTAGACAGATTTTTAATCATCAAAGGAGTCAATGGTTATGGGGAAAATGCACGAAAGTGGAGTCAATGATTATCAGATCAACCATGATCTCATTGAGTGACATAGCAGACAGAGTGCGCTGAATGGCCTACTTCTGCTCCTATGTCTTATGGTCTTATGGCTATCATTTATTGGGTAAAAAGCAGGTCAGCAGCTAGGAATCCTGTGGCAAGTAAATCACCTCCTCACTCCCCAAAGTCTGCCCACCAGCTACAAGGCACAAGTCAGGAGTGTGATGGAATACTTCCCACTTGCCTGTTTGAGCGCAACTCCAACCACACTCAAGAAGCTCGACACTATCCAGGACAAAGCAGCCCACTTGATTGGCATCAAATCCACAAACATCCACTCCCTCCACCACCAATGCTCAGCAGCAGCAGCAGCAGTGTGCATCTTCAAGATGTGCTACAGTAAGGGACACACACAATTTGGTGCCAATCTCCTAGTCACATACTGCCTGCTACAATGTCTGACAAGAAATGGTAAAAGCTCACCTGCACCAGAAAGTGTCAAATCTCCCTTTCTCAGAGAGAGTCAGCAGCCTGTGCTGGAGCTGGAGGCAGTTGCACACTGAACCACTGAGGCAGACTGGCCGAGTTTTTTTTTCTATTCATGTGTGGGATGTGGGCATCACTGGCTGGCCAGCATTTCGTACCCATCCCTCGTCGCCCTTGAGAAGGTGGTGGGGAGCTGCTTTCTTGAACTGCTGCAATTCTCCTGCTGTGGGTTGACCCACAATGCTGTTAGGGAGGGAATTCCAGGATTTTGACCCAGCAACAGTGAAGGAATAGTGATATATTTCCAAGTCAGGATGGTGAGTGACTTGGAGGGGAACTTGGAGTTGGTTCTGTTCCCATATGTCTGATGTCCTTGTCCTTCTAGATGGAAGTGGTCATGGAAGGTGCTGTCTGAGGATCTTTGGTGAATTACTGCAGAACATCTTGTAGATAGTACATACTGCTGCTACTGAGCATCGGTGGTGGAGGAGGGAGTGGATGCTTGTGGATGTAGTGCCAATCAAATGGGCTGCTTTGTCCTGGATGGTGTCAAGGTTCTTGAGTGTTGTTGGGGCTGTACTCATCTCGGCAAGTGGGGAGTATTCAGCTACACTCCTGACTTGTGCCTTGTAGATGGCGGACAGGCATTGAGGAGTCAGGAGGTGAGTTACTCGCCGCTGTATTCCTAGCTTCTGCCCTGCTCTTGTCACCACTGTGTTAATGTGGTGATCCAGTTGAGTTTCTGGTCAATGGTAACCCCCCCAGGATGTTGATAGTGGGGGAATTCAGTGATGTAACACCATTGAATGTCATGGGATGGTGGTTAGATTGTTTCTCATTGGTGTTGATCATAGCCTGGCATTTGTGTGGTGTGAATATCATTTGCCATTTGCCATTTGTCATCCCAAGCCTTGATTTTGTGCAAGATCTGGACTGTTTCAGTATCTGAGGAGTCATGAGTGGTGCTGAACATTGTGCAGTCATCGGTGAACATGCCGACTTCTTACCTGATGATGGAGGGAAGGTCATTGATGAAGCAGCTGAAGATGGTTGGGCCTGGGACACTACCCCGAGGAACCCCTGCACAGAAGGCCTGGAGCTGAGATGATTGACCGCCAACAGCCAAGACCATCTTCCTATGTGTCCAGTATGGCTCCAACCACTGGAGAGTTTGCTGCCTGATAACCATTGTTTCCAGTTTTGCAAGGGCTCCTTGATGCCACACTTGGTCGAATGCAGCCTTGATGTCAAGGGCTGTCACTCTTACCTCACCTCTGGAATTCAGCTCTATTGTCCATGTTTGAACCAAGGCTGTAATGAAGTCAGGAGCTGAGTGGTCCAGGCGGAACCCAAATTGGGCGTCACTGAGCAGGTTATTTCTGAGCAGGTGCTGCTTGAAAGCACTGTTGATGACATCAATTTACTGATGATCGAG